AATTTCTATAAATTGAAGCTCAGGGCCAAAAAGCGCTGATTTTCATTGAAAAGCAGTAGTTCGCAGGAGAAAATACGGAAATACTTGAGCCAAATATTGCAAAATTATCATTGGAAAGGTTCAGCACTCATGATTTTGGATACTCAAATTTAGCACGAATGAATATTCACGCCTGGGAACCTTTGACGGGCACCCCGTTGCATAGCTTGTTATTTTGAAAAATTACCCTTTTCAAAATATGTACATTAATCGATTGATTTTGAATCGATTCGATTAATAATCAATGACTGAATTTATGACTATCCAAATAGCCGCTTAACTGATCAATTAACCAATCAAAAAACTGTAGTTTACAGTACACACTACACAGTCACATTAAACATTTGAAGGAGTGCCTTCGTGAGAGAATACGACGAGAGACCCAACGAAAACAAATTTGAACTTCTAAAATTTGTAAGACCAAATCCTAGCTTTTAAATAGACTTCATTTTGCAATTCAGAACTGCAATTTCTGGCTTATCTGTAAAAACACTTATGTGCACAGGCCAACTAACGGTACAGACGTTGTTTCTAAAACAGAGGCAGAAATTGTACTCCGCTATTACAAAATGTGGTCCAAATGTTTTACATCATGTCTTACTTCTCTCAGTCCACTGTGCGCCAATATTATGCCGAGCGTACACAGCCGGGCTGAACAACTCCTGCCGAACACCGACCCCAGGAGGCTCCGTGGTTTTCGCTATTGCACCCGTGGTGAAACTCGAGCGATGCACTATAGACTAATTTAATGGTGACGTCATCCGTTGCGCATCGCAGTTTCTATGAATCCACCGTGAATGGACACGCCACCTCAACAATATTAACGTCGGGCTGGTATGCGTCCAAGCGTTTCTTGCAATTTCAATTCCTCGTTCTGGGTCTCATTAATCGATCTATGATTTGTCAAAGACAAAATCCAGGGACGAGACGTGAATGATCGATTATCGATATTTCCCCGTTTGAAGCTATGGTAAAGAATCGATTATAAGGTGTTCGTTGCGAACACCCTGTTTATCGATCCTTTTCCATAGGTTTAAATGGCGGATCAATAGATAAATCGCAAAGTACGCCACGTCACTGACAAAATCGTGATGAATGATACTATTTCATCAAATTTACTTATTATAGGTCCAAAATGTGCCCACATACTGCTGCCATGCGCAAAAAGAAATAAAATGAGCCCACTTAATGAAGAACCGAAGATAAAGTCGTTGATTTTTAACCACCTGACCGATTTCTGACGTTTTTTGGATGATAGTCGACAATTTTACGAATAATGAAGGATTTTTCCAGTAAAATTTCCCGCTTGGACATAGAGCCAGGTCCATTTCTTCAACACGTCAATTTTGTAATTACTACTCTCGTCGGCGACACAGCAGTGTGGTACGATGAACGTCCAGATTTGTATCAGTGAAAGAGGCACGCAAGTTATCGCTAGGGCAAGAAAAACCAAAACGCCTTCAATGTATCGGGTATGCAGCACAGATGTCCTTAAAGGGCGATTAGTTGCATCCAACGCCTAGCGTTGGGTTCGACTCCAAACTGCGTTGTGTCCGTGGACCGATATTTTCATAGACACTTTCTAATTCAATAAAATGAGACTGATTTGTCATAATGGATGTATTAAATAAAATATAACGCATTGTGTTGAATAATTATAACCTATTGGATAACAGCATAACACATTTTATTGTTTGCTACACAGAGGAGTAGAACCCCATTCCGAGGTTGCAAAATTGACCCGAATAATTCAATTCGTTACGAGAGTAAGACGTAATATCTATTGGTAATTTTTCTGATTATCAAATGAGATAAGAGGAAAAATCGGAGACATTTTAATTGAAAAATTCTCAACAGTTTTCAAGTAAAAATACGATTTTCCAACGGCAAGTTTGCAAGACTGAAATGCAGTTGTGTTCTTTCGTCTAGTAAAGGATGTGACAATGTCTATTCACACAAATCATCACGTTTCGTTCTAAGTAAAATGTTGATGAGGGATCATGCTCTGTGGTGCTAAATGTCTTACCCTGTCCAGCATTTCATAAATCGTTTCTCGCGAGTGAGAAAAAAAATCATGAGTGACATCAAATTATTACCGAATTTCTTTCCGAAATCTAGTTTCTTTGAGGCAAGCAGTGATAAGTGCGTGAAAAACGACGGTTTTTAGTATCATTCAAGAGGGGAGAAAATATGGATGTCCGATCTTTGTCTCAAAGCTATATATAAAAAGCAATAACCGAAAGTGCCACCTGACGTCACATCTCTAACACATGATACCCTTGAGTGGCCCTGACGGTGATACAAAGTCACTTTCGCTTAGAGAACATCAAAACATTATCAAATCAAAGACCCTACGTGATGTCAAAGCTATCGTATATCAAACATGAATGTACGTGCATGATTTTCCCAATTTTTGGGTGAAAATGATACAGCATTGCGGAGATGCGCGTCTCGGTTTGCGGCGTTACATATTTCCTGTGATACTCAGTGACGTGGCGTGAATTGCGATGTATCGATTGTTCTGCCATTTAAACTTATGGTAAAGAATCGATTATTAAGGTGTTCGCAGCGAACACCATGTTTATCGATCCTTTTCCATAGGTCTAAATGGTATAACAATCGATATATCACAAAGCACGCCACGCCACTGGTGATACTTTGTTTTCTACTTGGAAAACTACTGGACGCCATCTCTTGAACACTTAGTAGATTTTTCCTATGTTTGAAGAAACTTCTGAGAAATTTTCAAGTCATGATCTTGATTCGATTTATTTACATATATGGAAGTCGCTCCTATAACGCACTCTGGTGTTCTGCGACCTCTAAACTCGCACAAGTGCCTGTCATCCCGAAGTTTATCGGACAACTGACAACGCAACATATTTCGTCAACGCCCTGCCGCAATCCCTTCATGGGACGTCCCCATAACTAAAAAACTAAACTAAAATAGGAGCAGGATTTTGAAACACCGCATTTTCGCAGTTTCACCGTCAATTTTCATCAAAATAAATCCGCCCTTAGTCGACTCACTTACGTCACCACGTGGCCTATCTCAAGTTACACTAGGAAGGGACGCAACAGTGTCCCCCTCGCCAAAAAAAGGTAGCGTATCAGCTTTCCCCTCTGTCCATAACGGACCCTCCCTCGGCGAGAAAATGGCTCAAAGGAGTAACAACCGTGAAATTTTAAACCCGCGACCTACATCCCTGAAACTCGAACTTACGGCCGGGAAATCGCGGGCGAAAGCCAGGGATTTCCCGGGCGCGTGGACGGGCCGGGAAATCTGGTGACAATCCCGCGTCATCCGGCAAACGGTCTCACTTCCTCGCAACATTCCTTACTTAGTGTCAAGAAGTACTTAAGGTATAATTGACGTAGGAGAACGAGGAACGAGAGGGCTGGGAGAGGAGGGAAGATTAGAGGAGAGAAAAGAGTGGCAGAAGGGAGCCATTCAGACAGTGGATCGTTAGCGAGGTTGTGCTTTGGGTGATACTGCCTCCTATGCGACCGTCCTAAGAAAGAACACCGTATCGACCTTCAGGCGTTGCCAAATTTCCTTTGGTAAATCACACATTATCGAGAAAATTCGTCAATATTTTTCTTCCAATTTTTCAGATAATTTTGTTCGCAATTTCACCTTAAATTACCGAAAATTCCAAGGGAAAATATTCATGGCTTTCTTAAAAAATAAGTATTTTGTTGAGGGCGATTTGGCAACTCTGGAATGTTCATACGGCGTTTATTCTTAGCACGGTAGCCCGCCGTGGGCCGGGCGGGAGCCGGCCAGCAACGTATAACTAACGATCTGCAGTATATAACGATGCAAGAGATAAAGTTAATGTTGTCAGAGGTCTTTTAACGCTGTACATCAGTGCTACCGAGCGAGTAGTTTTTCACGTTCGCCGGCCCACGTTCCGAGGTTTTTTCCTTCCGTTTTTGCCCTCTCCGACCGAGGGGCGGGTCTCCTCGACTCGCGATGGTTTTGCCCCCGAAATTAGGCCCTGACGCATGATGGAAGTGTTATTAGCCGCCCACGAGCTCTTTCGTCTAGAACATTCGGGGGAACGTATTGCGAGGTGACCGCAGAATTGGAGCAGAAGGGACGTAACTGCATTTTTTCAGCTTCAAGATGCCGCGAGAGGTCAACCTCTTTACTCTCTAATTTCTCATTTATTTTTCATTCTTTATTGGGGGAGGGGGGTTTCGTACCCCGCGGTTGGTGACAAAAATAAGTTCACTTACATCGCAATCTTCAGAATCGAAAGCCCCTCCCTTAAGCTGATACGAGAGGGAAAATCACTAACTTCATATTCAGAAGATTTTTTAAAGTTTACTGATTTACGAAAATAAGAAACACATTTCTGGTATCGCTTGAAAGACTGATTGATTTTCGATGTAATTAGCAATGTTTTGTCGTGCATCTCGCCAGTGGAGTTTGATATACTTTAGGCCCTCTGACCGTCTAAATTTTTATTTTTTTGTCAAAGTTCAAAGTTGATCCTACCTTCCTACTTATTTTTAGCCATTTGCTATGATTTTTGCTACTATCGACAGGTGACAGTCTCTAGATGAGCCCGCTCTACTCAGATTTTGAAAATTCGACCCAAGTTTTTTCTTTTTAATTTGTGATAAAATTGTGAATATCTCCTTTAAACAGTGTAAATTTCAAGTTCAAGTCATATTTTACGAGATCTACCGGGCCGATGTAACAGAATAAACTCACAAGATATCAAATGAGAGAAACAGTCAGTTTTCTGATAGAGAAATAATATATAAGAGGAAACTAGACAATATCTGATGCGGCTAGGCTGTTTCTGGTAAATCCGCCACATTAAAGTTCCTCTTAATAGAACTCAAGGGGTCTGACAAAATAATATTATCTTACGACTAATATACTTTTTTCAATCGGTTTAGAAGTAGAAAGAGTGATGAAATTAATTCTTCCGATAATAATGACTTACCGCTTTGTTATTTCCTGTGGCCTTCAATATATACACGATTCAGCTGAAAAAAAGAAAAGAAAATATGAGAGAAAGCTGAACCTTGAAAGGACAAATAACTTAATCTGAGGAAAGAAATCGATTCTCTTTGATCCTATATAAATATTAATGTCGTTTTCCACATAATTGCCATATGTCTAAGTGTTTTCTCTCATTTTCAGACTGAATGTTGGTTCACTTTTTGCAGAAAGATTCTATCCATGAATTTTGAGCCTGAATTATGCTCATCAAACATGGGAAGATTAATTTCTCATTTAAAGGACGATGCTGTTCAGGTATTTATTTTCTATTCAAAAAGTATAATTTGTTCCAAAAATGGAGGAGTTTAATGAGGATTGTGCAGTATCCCCCGTAGAAGTCAATGAACAGTTTCCCCTTCCACAGACACACTGATTTGTTTATGCTTCTCAGCTATAGCTCATATTATTAGTATTGCAACGTTTATCACCCACCTAAAACAACAGTTGAAGTGCTGAAAAGTATAGGAATAATAAATGGTGTAACTGTACATCAACGTTTTTGCGTAATATCGATGGTAAAACTCGCCTACCACGTCGAATCTCGTTTGTGGTAGTTTAGAATATCAGCTCCCATGTTATCTTTTTGAAGGAACAAGAAACGACATCGTTCCGAAAAGTTTGCACGCAATTTTCTTCGTACCATGAAGAAATATCAGGGGAGTTTTAAAAAAGTGACGTTGAGTAGTCCTAAAATAAGGCGACACCTCATTGGCAGATAGAGCGGAGCATTGCTAGTTCACGCCTCACGCCATCGCGCCTTCAATTTTGCGGATACAACACGGACATCCATCAAGCACGAATAGTCGCATCTCTGCGCCGTCGTCAACGTGCATCCTTTCCCGTGCATCTCTTCTCGGGAAGAGTTACACATCGATGGTGAAACTACCAGACCACGGATCTCGGTTTATGGCGTTGCAGACTTCCAGTCATACTTTATTTTTTAAATGGAGAACTACTTAACATCTCAACTTGAAAACTTCCGTGAATCTTCTTCTCTGTGCGAAGTAATTTCTGTCAAAATTTTAAGAGATGATATTGATTTGCTGTTTTTCAAACAAACAAAATGGGAGTGGAGATTTTTAAAAACTGCAAACGAGACATGAGGTGTGGTGGTTTCACCGTCAATTTGGCGGGTGAGGGAGAATGTGAGCGAGCGTCAGCATGTTACCGAAAAGGTGAAAATTAAAAAAAAAAAAAAGGATTATAATACTTCGAAAACTGTACATCGATGTTTTTAAATACAATATTTGAGCTGAATTGGGAGTTCGCGTACATTAATAGTCTTTGGGAGCTAAGGGTTAAAATGAAATGGAATTCCCCTAACAATTGTATCATTAATATTGTATTTTAATATTAAGTCTAAGGTTAAGGTCTAAGGTTTGATTACGTTTATTGATGTTTCTATTAGTTTAATTTTGATACTTTGGTTTTTTATATTCCATCATGTGTCTGTTTACAATGAAACAGGGTGTCAACTAGGAAAGGTTGGCCAAAAATCAGTACTGTTTACATTACTTTTTCAGTGCATTCTCAAGAAATTCAGTACCTTCTAAATAGAAAAATTCAGTACTTTTGCAGTACTATAGTATTATCGCTATTGAACTATTTTAGTACTTATTTGACAAAATCCGAAAAATTTCAAAATTTTGAAATTGTTGCTCGAATTTCATTGGTGGCTTGAAGATTCCACAATCGCGATCTCCCATGCAAATACGTCTCTAAGAATCAACGCGTAGGAAATCGCATATTTTTCAGGCTTTATTACAAAAAACCCGCGCGGTAGGAAGGAAAACATTTCAGACCTTCTTGCAGGATTTTGGCACTTTTCAAGCGCTTCTGGGCAGCCCTTAAAAAATCAGTACTATTTCCAGTTTTCCGGAGGTTCCGGACCAGTAGACATCCTGTGGAACCATCGGACCGCGTTGTAAAACGTGTGACGTAGCCACTAAATTATTCTATTTTCCTCTGGGGTCGATGGTTATTCTTATACGAATATGTTTTAGTCATTGTTGTTTGCTGATGAAAATAAATACATTCCTCCATGCCTTTGACACTTGTTGCATGTACTTCGGAATGAAATATACTCGAAGAAGAGCGTTAGTGAAACTTCTGGACGACCGAAATGCGACACTCATAATTCAACAGGATTTCCTTGGCGCTCGGCCAAAAACTCCGCGCCCTCCTATTTAGAAAACACTATGTTCACCAGAGCTGGCTATCTGCAAATCTTCCGTCCTCCAATTCACACGTTAATTATGGCGCACCCACTTCGTTCTCGCTTTCGAATTCATTATTTTAGACTCGTGCGCAACCATGTGGTTTACCGCGCGACCGTGCGATCGTGATCATGGGATATGTTAATTTTTTCCTTCGTTCCTTCTTTTAATGATACTGAGTGTATAATAAAGCAGATTAATGCACCCACAGTAGACCCTCGATTATCCGACACAATATGGGAGTATTTACGCTGAAAGGAACTATGTGCATGGGGACTGCGTATGCAACATAGTTCTTTTTGGCATTAATATGTCTCTAAAGCCGTCATGGATGTCGAATAACGATAAAGTTAGATAATCGAAACCGAAAATTCCAATTTCAGACTCTGCTCACAACCAGAGGGCACATAAGCTCGGCCAGTTTTATATCGTATTCGTAAGATTGTAATTATGGGAAAAATACAATAAACCGCACGTGCGACATTAAATTTTGACCCAAAAAAACGGTGTCGGTCGTGTCGTGGCCAAAAATGCCACGTTGTAGCGGTAGAAACATCATGTCATATGGTAGAGGTGTAGGGTTATTGAGCTTCTACTGTAATTTCGCTCAAATTGGATCAGATCTATTCTCCAGTTAGCCTCGGTGTGTAGATTCTTCATAGTGCAAGAACTACTTCAAGTACTTCAAGTGACAACTTCACATTTTACGACCACCATTTTTAAGCACCAAAACGTGACATTTCCTTTCCGTCATGAGAGTCTACGTAATTTCAAAATTTTAAACACAGATTTCTCGAAAAATCAAAAATTGTACTTATGCGTTTTGTCAACCAAGCCCTTCAAATGATCTCTCCAGTGATCCTAGACTTCGAAGTGGCCATTTATCTGCAACCCGGAATCAGGCCAAACAAACGTAAGACAACAACAACAACAGCAGCAATAGCAATAACTTTTGCTTCACCCGCTTGAATTTCTTGGATTATTAGCGCGGGGTCTCTAAAATATATTGTTCACATATAATATTAGGGCGAAGTTTAAACGGGGAGATGAAGGGAAGTTTAAGGAGGCAACGGGATGGGGTACTGATAAATGGCGTTCATTCATAGCCCGGAAACTATTGCCGAGTAAATAAGTTAATTCGAAGCCTCCCCTGTCGTTCGGCAGGAGAAGAGAAACTGCGCGGTATCAGATCACAAAGAGGGCGCAACAATAACTATTATTACCGGAGAATGAGAGCGATAAATCAACAGCCCTGCAAAGCGGAAATCCGAAAGCGCTGCATTGCACCTGCAGCCAGGGCCTCGCGGCTCCTACAGTATGAACCGCTTAAGCAATCCTCAAAAACCTTAACAAATAACGTTTCAAGATTTTCATGGCCGTTTTAGAGAATCAAGTGTCGAAAAATGGGCGCTTTCGAGGAAGGAATGGAAAATGTCGGCGCTCCTGGATCGCTCAACCCGGGCGTTTTGAAAAATTGCTTCGCCGCGAGCAAACCTGAGACTGATAGTTGGCACTCACTCATGAAAACCGGAGGAGTGAAAGGAGTTGGGAGGGGAAAATCACAATCATAAACCCTCCGCTACCTCTACCCGGGCCCCGGGATCACATTCGGTCGAATTCATCATCCTAGCCGCGCCGCGAACAGGCAGTTTTCCAAAGTAGGCGTCCTTTTAAAGCTCCTCCAAGCCCAAACCTGTCAACCGCAACTTCTCCACGTCAACACAGTTCTCAACGTCTGCCCTTTATTTTTTCCCCATTTCCCTAATTCCTTCCTCTTAATTTGCACCGAGAAGTTAAGGTGGGTCTTCAGCTTCGGTACAATGCATTCTGGGTACGATCCATGTTTCAAACTTTAGTTATTGGGTGGATTATTTTTGTGTCTTGTGAAAGGATTTCCATTCCGAAATTCATCTTCCAAAAGCTAAATGTATGACTTCATTTGTAGACAAGGAATGTATATACAGAGAGAAAATTTTCCTTGATTTTTTGCAAATGTACAGAGGAAGAAAATCTGAAAATTTTGCCGCAAGTCTGACCCTAGAATCTCACAAATTTAAGGAAGTATTAGTTCTTAAATTCCAGGACAAAAATTCTTAAGTTGTAGAGAAACACGGTTTAAAAGTTCCGGAAAGTTGAGCCAAATATTCTTCCTTTTCGCAGGGTCAATCACATGCAAAAGTCAACAGAACTTTTACTGATTTGCAACCAACTTCAATGTGTCAATATGGGTGACTAATCAGAAAATTTGCTTCTAATTTTTTTTTCGATTTTGGTACATGATTTTTGGCACGAAAATTCATCAGTGGGTGCATTCATCTGAAGATTCAAACTCCGATTGTTCTAGAATAACCCATCTAACGATAGGAATTCGATTAAACTCAGATTTTGTCTTTATCGGTCATGGAGTGCACATAGAATGTATAGTGCCTAGATTGGGAGAGTGTATTATACGGATCCGAAAGTAAATTATACACAACAGCGAAGTTAGTGAGTTAGTTGGTTAATTTTATTGGAGACATTAAGCATCATAGGCTATTAATGTCTTTACAGAGAATATGAGGGGTGAGTGCAAATAATATTGCAAGGCCCCTGAATTATATATATCGTCTCTGGGTGCTGTAGATCCACATTAAACAGTAAAACAAATGGTAGGTACGAGGGAAAGTTCACGTTACCGTGCGAATTAAGAACGCCTTATGAGCCTTCAGACGTTGCCACATTTTCTTCAATAAAAACGAATTTTCAGATAAATTAATGTATGCATGTTT